ATCCTTTTGTCACCTTCACACAGCTCCACGTAGGGCATCTCTCTGGCCATTGTCATATGGAACTGCCGGGTCCTTGAGGTCAGATCCTTCCTGATGACTATCGTTAAGATTCCAGCACACAGCACAATGGGACCAGGTGTGCCCACCATTTCTGCACAGGGTTGTCTCAATCAGTCCTCTCCAGGGTGATCCCACACCCAAGTGGCTTTTGTTGCAAGCCTCCTTCCGGGAAACCCCTCTGTCTGTGGGGAGGACCTGGGCTGGCTGATCACCCCATCTCCTGCCCTGAGACTCCTCTCCTGGCCTCAGCTTAATCACCATCCTCTTCCTGCTCCATTCTCTATACTCCAAGGACTCCCCAGGACAGGTGTCGGCAAACTCATTAGTCAACAGAGCCAAATATCAACAGTAAAATGATTGGAATTTCTTTTGAGAGCCACATTTTTTAAACTTAAACTCCTTTTTAACTCCACTTCTTCCAAATAGACTAGCCCAGGCCGTGGTATTTTGTGGAAGAGCCACACTCAAGGGACCAAAGAGCTGCATGTGACTCTCGAGCCGCAGTTTGCCGACCACGGCCCTAGGACAATGGCCAGGCCCGCATTGCCAAGAAAGGGGCATTGCTGCTTGGTTCCTGCCCCCAATCACCTCCTAGGTGCATGTATGATCACTAGGTCCCTCTCTGGCTATCTAACCAAGTCCAGGCTGGCCTTCCTTTTAACTTTGCCCTGCCTACACAGCCAAGCCCACGTTTAAGAGGTGGGCCCCTCCCTGGCCCACTGGAGTCATTTTCTTGGCTGGAACTGTTCTCCACGGCCTTCCTGGGCAGGCTGCACGTACAGTTTGGCTGCGGCATGTGTTTCGTATAGGACAGTTATGGGAACTGGGGCTATAAAAGCAGATTGGGGTCAGCCCAGGGAGGCCGGGGAGTGAGAGAGGGAACAGGAAGCATCCTTCCTCGGCTGCCCAGCCCCTCCCGCGGCGCAACCCCAGATTTCATTTCCCAGATAGGGAGCGACTCCATTAAACTACAAAGCATCACTTGAGAGAGGATTATTTTCTTACCAAGGTGACTGGGGGGTTTTCAGTTCTGAGACTTTATGATCACATTGTCTCACAGGCAGCTTGACAACGTCTTATGTCTCTGACACTGGAGGGATTTATTCACTTGAAGCACGGCGCTGAATCCTTGGCGGGCCCTGTATGGAAAATCGGGCTTTAGAAGTAAACACTGCCTTGCCCTTCTGCCTTCCTTTCTTCTGAGAATCTGCAAGCAGTGCCATCTCAGAATGAAATAAGTCCCCAGCTCCAGCTTAATGGAAGGTAGATGTTATCCTTGCTGCGTTTCAGAGGCTTCCTCTCTGTAGGATCGGAGCGATAATACGGATACCTCTTACCATTCAGAAATGTAAAGAAGATTGAGTGGATATTAAGGTACAATTATTCCACTTGAAGGTCTTGAGAAAGAAGTGAGAATCCTTTGTTCTAAACACCACCTCTGTGCCTTCTTGTCTCACCCTTTCCCCTCAAACCTCTTTCTACTCCCCAATCAAACACAAATCCCTGTAGCCAATGATAAAAGCATTAGGTTAGCACGGCCAGCATGACTCAGTGGTTGAACGTTGACCTATGAATCAGGAGGTTATGGTTCCATTCCTGGTCAGGACACATGCCCGGGTTGCAGGCTCGATTCCTGTTGGGGAGCATGCAGGAGGCAACCAATCAATGATTCTCTCTCATCATTGATATTTCTATCTTTATCTCCCTCCCCCCTTCTCTCTGAAATCAATTACAGAGAATAAACCTGGGCTTGGTTATTTCTTCTGGTTCCGGTTGAATCCTTCAGGTGACGGGGAGCTCACTGACTCATAAGACAGCCAATTCCATGAGAGAGAATTCTTTCTCGCGTGAAGTTAAAATCTCCCTCTTCATAAGTTTTGCCTTTGGGTCCCAACCATGGCCCTCTGGAGGATCCCTGAGCAAGTGTTATTTCTTCTCCACATGACAGCACCTCAAATATTTGAAGGCTGCTATCATAGCTCCTTTTCATTATTTTCCTCTCCCACATGAGATAGGGTCAGACCTTGGCAAGCAGGAAAAATTGTTCACAGTGACTTGTAATATTTCCATTTCTTAAGAAGAAATAAACATGGAGCAATTTGTCACCCACTTACTGTCCTATTTTTTCAGGTAGAATAAATGCTATTTTCAGCTCTGAATCTACCTCAGTTAACTCTTTGTTCTAAGGAAGCCACCGAATGTGCTTCTGCTCTGAAGCTTTCGCTGACCCTACTCTTGGAAAATGTTGGTTGCTCTCTCCTCTCTGCTCCCACGATGTTCCATTTAAATCATTGCATTGTTTTGTTTCATCTCATTTATCCCCAGGCCTGCCTCTCAGGACTCTAAAAGTCTCAAGCAGAGCCCATATTTTAATCATGGTGGTATCCCCAATGCCTATCAGAGGGCCTAGAACTTGGTAGCAACAAAATAAATGTCTGCTGCTGTATGAATGCGGTCTATACATCATAATAAAGAGGGTTGTCAAGATTTCCTCAATGCCTTAAACTATTGGGAATCTGTTACTTTACAAAGTTGGTTTATTATTTCTCCTGTCAGTTTCAGGTCCTAAAAATATGGAGCACATGTACAAATGTGGAAGCAACTTTGTATATATATGCCCTATAAAGAAGATCGATGCCAGCACTCCGCTGTGCTTATCTGATGACTAACATCAGTGGTGACATGTAAAACTATACAGTTAAAAGACATTAAAGCACTGCTTAGATGAGAACAGATGAAAAAGATAGAGACTGCTCAAAAGACTGCTGAGAAAAAAAAATCTTTAGGCCTATTCTTTAAAGCATTTACATAAATAATCCTGACTAGATATACACTTTTTAATTTCTGGTGTGAGTGTATGTGTGTTTGTGTGTAATATTTAGGAGTTATATATATGGCTCATGTGTGTGCATGTGTGTGCACACACGTGTGTATGTAATGTGCCTGTGTGATGTGAGGGGTGTGGTATTTAACCATGATGCCCCGTTTACTCTCCTGCTTTTTCAATGTTTTCGGAAATTGTTAGGTTGTCTTCAAATACCCTTTGTATCCCGTGTAAGGGTATTGGTAGAAAGGGGACTGTAAGTGATAAGGATAGCCAGAGGGTTTAGATCTCACAGATAATAACAAACATGGTAGAGTCCCAGGGAAGGGGTGGTAAAGTTTAATTGCTTTGTTCAGTTTTCTATAATATTTACTTAGAACCAGAGATAATGGCTGATGCCAAGAAAACAATCAGTTAAGGACGCATCCTAACCGGCCATGTTTGAGGTAAGAAAACTGCTGTGTAAGCACGTTGGACAAAAGTTTCCCATATTCAAATTCCATGTTAAATGTTTAGTAAATTAAAGAGAGAGCAAAAGCAAGCTTAGCCCTAACCCTTTCATACAAGTGCCAGAAGTCCTTCACTGGAAAATCTAAAGGATGATTTCTACTATTACATGAAAAAATAAGAATAAGAACTCCATCTGTCTATTGAGAGATTAGAAGACTGGTCACTTTATAATATCTTCAGTGTATTGAAGAAGAGGTGCTGAGGGTATGTCACTTTGGAACCATCTCTGCATCTACCTCTTGTGTAATTTTAGAATAAAAGCATAGGACACAGAAGAGAGCTTAAAGTGGAGTGAAATGCTAAGAGAATTTGCATGGAGGAGGGCAGCTATTTTATTTTATTTATTTTATTTTATATTTTATTATTTTATTTTATTTAGCAAGGAAGGCACCTGGATGCCAGAGACAGGTAGCAGGTGACATCCTATGCAGATTAGTTCAGGCAATTAAGTAACTAGCCAAAGAAGCAGAGTTTTCTGAAGTGCCTAGGTCTCTACAGGCTTAACGCAGCCAAAACAGGTCTTTAGATTCCAAAGTCATTCCTGGAGGGTACAACTGTGGGCTCTTGACTCAGATGGCCTGGGTTCAAATCTTGATCATTGCACTTCCCAGCTTTGTGATTACCTTTCTAACTACGGTTTCCTGCACATAAAAGAAGGTAATAATGCTATCTCTATATATAAAATATAAAAAGCCAGCTACCATAATGCCATAACCACTGGAACAACCAGAGACCAGAACACCATGCCCCTTGCCCAGGCTAGCCTGCCCCCCAGGGAGCAGTTAGGGGCTCCCCTAGGCAATGGGTTAGGATTCAAGTTTGATGGGGGAAAGTCAAAGAAATAGGGGGAAAGGCCTTTAGGGTCTGGGGGTTGGGGTGGTTGGCCCAGAGTAGGTGTGGAGTGTGCTGGGGAAGGAAGGGAAGGATCCAATTGGAAAAGGTTCAGCACAGTACCTTCCTCATCGCGAACCAGGATGGTGCCAGCTTCATGAGGGCACTTGGGACTGCCATGCTCATGGCAGCGGCAAATACTGAACACTTATGGGCTTCTCTACAAACACTCCCGAAACTTCGCTGATTCCAAAGAGTAAACAGCTGTCAACGCCAAAACAGAAAAATCCTCTCCAACTAGAAGCCCTGGACTTGCAATGCCACTGAAGGAAACACCACTTGAGGAGGAGCTAGAAGAACTGAAAGTGTGCAACCAGAGGATTGTGGGGTTGTGAGGGACGCCTGGGTGCCTATGGCTAGAACATGAGCCTGCTATTGTGCATGTTCATAGTCAGTGACTTCTGGCGGGAAATTATTTCGACAGGTTTGCTGTTCTCTTGTGGCGAGGAAGATCAGAATTAAAGGTTCCTGATCTTGGTTTGAAGCAGAGAAAATGGGATAGTGATGAATAAAAAACTTTGGAGACAGTGAAGGGCAGTTTGTCCAGACTGTTAAGAGCTACGGAGTAGAGTTTAATTGGGATAGAAATCCTGCTAACAGCACCTGATGCCTGAAATCTGAGCACACTACTTTTAGGTTTTCCAGCTCGAGTTTTTGGAGACTGCCTATTAAAACATTCCTGGTTGGGGAGCACTTCTGGCACCAGATGGTCACCATGAAGTCCAACCCCTTGGTGACCTCAGGGGGCAGCAAAAACTGCAAAGGCCACTTCAATACCCCCTCCCACATGCACCACAAGATCATGTCTCCCCTGCTCTCCAAGGAGCTGCAGCAGAAGTACAATGTCTACTCCATGCCCATCCGAAAGGTCGATGAGCATGTTCGAAGACATGACAAAGGTCAGCAAGTCGGCAAGGTAGTACAGGTGTACAGAAAGAAACATGTCATCTACATCGAGAGGAGAGCAGTGTGAGATGGCTAACGGTACACTTGTCCACGTGAGCATTCACACGGGCGAAGATGGTTATCACCAGGCTGGACCAAGACTGGAAAAAAATTCTTGAACACAAAGCCAAATCTCAATAAGTTGGAAAAGAGAAAGGTAGATATAAGAACTAACTGAGAAAATGCAGGAATAAATGTAACCTGTTGTGTAACAACAGTTTAGTTGTAGGTTTTTAGCCTGGTATGTATTCCTTTAAAATTGTTCAAAATGTCTCTGGAATATTGTTTCCTTCCTGGTGATTGATATGTGGTTCTTTATATCTATTGTTGCTGCTTGGATTAATTTTATGAATAAAAATTGGAAATGTTTCTTAATTCAAAAATAAAAAAGTAAGTAAATAGATAAATAAAATATTCCTGGTTGGAGAGTGTTTGTATAGAAGCCCATAAGTATTAAGTATTTGCTATGTTGCCATGCTTAGCTCTCTGTAAGAAATATGGAATAATTATTAAATGTCTCAAAAAGCTTGAATTTTAAAATAAAAAAATAAAGAAGAAACATAAATATTAAAAATTTTTTTTTAAAGAAGCTTGAGTTTTAGGAGTGAAATCAGGCAGGCAGGCTAGTGGTTAGAGGCCATCAGGAAGGCAGGCAGAGTGGTTAGAGGCAATCAGGCAGGTAGGCCAATGGTTAGGAGCCAGCAGTGGTGAGAGAGATGTCCCAAAAATCCCAGATGGGAAGACTGTAAACACGAATTTCTAGTACATTTATAAGTTCATAGAGAATTTTAAAGGAGATAATCCTATAAAGCACTTGACATGATGCCTGACACATAGTAAATATTTAATACATGCTTTTAAAAACATGGCCAAATCATAAAATTAATATTGTGAATTGGCCTGACAAAGTAGAGGCAAAAGAAATGAAAGATTTTCTTAAAAGCAAAGGGAAGTGCACTGTATTAATACTGTGGCTGCAATACCAAATTAGCACACACTATGTGACTTAAAACAACAGACATTTATTCCCCTGCAGTTCTGAAGTTCAGAAGTTCAAAATCAAAGTGTCCAAAGGCTCTGGCTCCTTTGGAAGGCTCTGGAGGAGAATCTTCCTGCTTGACTCTCTTCTAGCCAAGTGTTAACTGTATAACCATCTCATACTCTTAGAGTCGCCTCATCTATAAAATGGGGAACATCCTCTCTCTCTTCTTAACTTTCACTATAAATACCAAGTCCCTCGAATTCCTAATCTGTTCTCCAGAACTGGCCCGAGCCGGAGGACAGAGCACATCACCAGTGACGTGGGGAAGGAAAACCATAAGGACAAACTTTTCCTTCAAAAGTCTTCTGTTTGAGAAGCAGAGGACAAGCTTAATTTTATAAAAGAGTTCACTCTAATATGATGGGAAAACCGAAACTGAGACTGTGATGCCAATAGGAACCCAGCAAGCTCTGGGAACCAGCTGTTAGTCCTTCTCTGAGGATCACATCTCTCACCCATCCCCATGTCCACCTCTGTCGTGGCAATCAGCTTCTGCCTATGCATCAGTTCCAGCCTTTTGTCACTGGGCACCTTCCTTTGCTTACACATGGCTTTGGCCCTTATAACTGAGCTCACGTGGCTTCTGCTATCTTCTGAGCTCACATCTACCTTGTGTCATCTCCCAATGCACCCTGTCAGCTTCTGCCCCCACCGCTATCTCCTTCAATCTCCAAGTTTACCAACCTCAAGTTACCTAGAAAATAAACAAATCAAACACACATTTCCTTCTGAACTAGTGCAAAAGTTATCAAGAATATGGATGTGTTGCCCATGGGCAAAGGCCAATCAGCAATAGATAGGAGGAGTGTCCACCTGGAGAAAAACACAGCTTCTGTCCTTCAGAGGGATTATATGTGGATTAGTTTCATCAAAGAGGTGGATGAGGCTAACAGGTATGTGACTGCTCTTCTTTGAGAACCGCATCCCCATCCCCCAAATTTTCCATTTCCATGTGAGCTATTGCATTCATGTCCAAGTCCACTTTCTAACCATAGTTGATTTGCTCAGGTTGCTACATATATAACCAGTTGGACCAACAGTTCCCTTCTCCTTGATTACTGGAGTTTATAAGTGATTCATATGGGCCTCCTTCATTTCACTAAAGCCATAAATCTTGAATGTTACAGGTGGCCATGTTTTTTGCCATATGTAGAAATTGATATCCAACATGAGACAAAGATGCCAACCCACAGCAGGGAAAAACTGATATGCAAGATGAAGAGGCTCCTGCCAGCATTTCAAGTACCAGCTATGCTTCCTCCAGAGACACAGCTGCCTCTTTGCCTTTCCAGATCTGCTTTGCTATTCAGACTCCATGAATCTCATAAGATACCCAAGGTACTTATATCAGGGTGGCTACTTTGCTTTAACCAGATCTCTGCTATTTTCAACCACAGTGGTCTTAACAATCTTAGAAGGGTATAGGCAGAAGGGGCAATAAGATTTCTCCAGAACACACCTTTACACGTTGCCTACAGCCCTACCCAGACTTGGCCAGGATTCTCATTTGTAGCATTGGCCTCAACAGAGGCTAATGTACTATTTGTCTTCAACAGAAGCTGCATGTGTAGTACACAATAGAATTGATTGTTTTGCTGATATTTATTGAGTGCCTACCATGTGACAGGCATTAGGCTCTGTGCTGGAAATTTAATAAAGAATAAAACAACCTGCCGGTAGAGCCATGATATTTCAAACTCATTTTTATCATAGAATTCTCAGGAAGAAGTGTTCACAATGACTGAACACTCTACCTCAACCCACACACCACCACTGTAAGACTAGAGCATTTGCAAACCCAGAACTCTCCCCCTCTCCATATGCTTTGACTACACTCATATACTGAAGCCAAACAGAAAGCACTGGGGTCTGCCAGCTTCAGAGATTGGAAGGAAGCCCTCTGGAGACTCTTTCCTATCACTACATTTGGGACTTTCTTTTCCCCGGATTCCCACGTGTAACTATAGCAAATAAATACAAGTCAAATCAAGCCATTTTTAACAAGGTGCCTGAAAGGATAAAAGAAACTACTGTATACTGCTACCTTGTCTCTACATGACTGCTAAGCTCCTTGAAGACAAAGGAGTTACTTGATTTCCTCAACATTTAACATTTTCTGAGGCCTTTCTAAGTGTTCTTCACTATTCTAGGAGTTGGAGATTCAGTGGTGATCAAAGAAACAAAAAACAACAAAAACAAAAAATGTATTCCAGTGTAAAGATGAAGAATAATCAAACCATAGGTTAACTAAGTTTCATAGGCCAGGTGATGCCTATGTCTATGAAGAGCAATTGTGTGGGTTACAGGGAGTGCCAGGCCTGGCCAGGTAAGAGAAGGAATTTCTAAGTAGTAGGACAGGGCTAGAGATGGAAGACATCAGTAAGTAGTTTTTTGTTTGTTTGTTTGTTTAAAATATATTTTATTGATTTTTTTTACAGAGAGGAAGAGAGAGGGATAGAGAATTAAAAACATCCATAAGAGAGAATCATCGATTAGCTACCTCTTGCACACCCCCCACTGGGGTTGTGCCCACAACCAAGGTACATGCCCTTGACCGGAATCGAACCTGGGACCTTTCAATCCACAGATCGACGCTCTAGCCACTGAGCCAAACAGTTTTCAGCCATCAGTAAGTAGTTTTTATTTAAAGCCATGGAAGTAGGAAGTAAATTCAGGTAGGACAGAGGTATAAAAACCGAGCCATGCAGCATTTCGATTTAAGAGATTGTGGTGATTAGGAGATACAAGGAGTGGAAACTCAGGCATGACCAAAAAGAAGGAGGAAACCAAGAGCACAGAGTCTGTGAAACCAATTGAAGAAAGTTCTCCATGAAGGAGGAGCAAAATAACATGGCAAAATGTGGATGAGAAGTAAGACATAACGTGAGGTGACCTTGACAAACAATTTCACTCGTGGGGTGGAGACAATAAAATCTTTAGTAGACTGAGGTCAATAAAAATCTGGAAATAAAAAAATGGAGTACAGACAACCATCTCAAGGAGTGTTAGTGAGAGGAATGCAGAAGTAAGATGTTCACTAGACATCCCTGTTGGGTGATAAGGTGTGAGGAGTGATGGTCTTGAGAACGGAAGAGGAGGGAAATCTAGAACATAAGTGGGAGGGGTCTGCTTTAGATGGGGCAAGCACAAAGCTCATCAATTCTCATGGAAACAAAGGCAGAATATGTGGGTGCAGATGCAGGGATTTCCATAGGTTTCCATTGTGCTGAATTATTTCTGAGTACTGCTATTGTCTCAGTGAAGTAAAGTATGACATTATCTGAGGGTAGAAGAGGGAGTTTCGCTACTGTAGGCGAGAAATGAAGATATGAAGTAGTCAGCTCAGATGGGGGAAAACTGATTGACTAAGGGAATTGTAGGATTGGCCAGCAGGGCAAAAGATCCATTTGAATTTAAAGGAACCCCAGTAGTCCGTGCAGTAACCATGGGAGATATGTAACTCAAGAACTTGAATCAGCTGGAGGAGGGCAGTTAGCTAACAGCCTCCCTATGCAGTGGGATCTGACAGGCATTTGAGTCAAAGCCATGCTCTTCTTGGCAGATCCTAGCCCATAACTGAGCACAGAAAAAAAATCTCCTCGTGGGACTGCACTGCACCGTGCTCCTCACTGGGCTGGCCAAGACTCTCTCAGAATTGCAGCAGAATCCAAGGCCCTCCCACCTCTCTCACTGGTATCAAATTCATCTCATTCTGAAAGTTTTCCTTGACTACCCTGTCGCTTTTCAGCTTTATCTTTCAGATGGGTTACCCTTTCCCCTGCCCACTTCAAACTCCCTTGGGCATCTGCTTCTGAGAAATTCCACCTACCACCCATGGACATGAGTCTTCTCCTCTAGCTTCTTCAGTCACTTCAGTCATGATCCACACATGAAGTGAGCTAGGGCGGACTCCCCCAGGTGAGCATGAAGAAATAACAGAGGAGCCAAGAAACAGAGTTCCCGGCATATGCAGATTCATCTTGCAC